CAGATCAGTGGCTGCCATAAGGAGCAGGTCATGGGGACGGCCACCCATGCTCTTCCCACCCTGTGCAGAAGTCTGCGTGTCGGAGGGTAGAGGTTAAATTAGCCAAGAAAGGGCTTTCTCTCCAGTATCCCACCAGGTAAGCACAATGCCATCTCTTTCAACAAGTTCTATTTTCTCCAGAATCAAAAGGTTGTTACTTGGTCACATAGTTAAGGAGAGACATGCCTGAGATGGCTCCTGGCTTTTATCTTATGCCATCTCTTCTGTGGACCGAAGTCCACTAGGGATTAAGCTGCAAAAACTTAAAATGGATCCCCTGGTACTGCTGATGCCAGAAAGTTCTCAAGTCAGGACCACAGTGAGCGTGAGGCCCGTGGCAAGGCCCTGGGTGCTGGAGAAGATCATTGTAGGGTTCAATGACCTTGATCTTCTCTTACCATTTTTGGAGACGCTGGATATTGCCGCTGGATATTGCCGTCTACACTGCAGAAAGCAGAAAGGAGCTCTTTTTCCTAGTTGCAGAGGACACGGTCTATTGTCTGAAGCGGGGCAAGCTTGGATGACAAACTCCGGCCCAACCTAACAACAGAAGAAAGGGCCTAGATGGCCTGTCCCAAAGCCCAGGCTCCCACCGGGGACTGGCAGCTCCTAACAGGCCGGAACCTGTCAGGAGGCAGAGGCTGCTCTGGAGCTTCAGCGGACCTGCGGTTTGGACTTGCTTGTAGTCAGTAATGCTCACCCCCCACCTTGGAAGTTAATTTCTTTTCTGCTCTGCTTCTGGCGCTCAGGGTGTGGCCCCAGATCCTGCCGCCTGAGCATCACTTGGGGGCCAGTTGGGCATGCAAATTCTCAGCCCTGCTCCCATCAGACAGGCCTGGTGGGACCCGGTGATGTCATTGTGTTTTAATAAACCTCCAGGTGACTGGCACCCTAAAGCTGGAGACCCCTGCGGCCCTCCCCTTCACGGAGCCCTTGCTTGGCATTCCTCCTGTGGTGACACAACTCCATCGCAAAGCCGAGACATCTGTACCTGCTTTTACAGTTGCCCGGGGACCACTGCACACTGTTCAAAGCCACGCGTTCTCTGACCCCTGTTTTCACGGCCAAAGTGGGTATTTGGTTGCAGGTGCTTCAAGCACTCCCCGAGTTTCAGTCATGGAGGCCGCCCAAGCCCTAGGCTCAGGACTCTGGCCTTCAGTCACCCATTTGTCTCTGGACACGACTAGACCCACATCCTGATTCCAGGGACATCAGCCCACCCACCTGACGTCCTTCCTGCCCTGCCCTGCCCTGCCCTGGTGTTGGCATGGGTCCCTCTCTTTTTCCTAAGAGGTCACCATCCTGCCCCCAGCCCCTTGCCCGTTGGTTCTGAAGGCTGTTTGATCCGGGGCACTGCCTCGGGCACTGATCTCCTGCTTCCCACGGGGCTCTGGAGGCAAGTCTGTGTCCTGTTCAGCACGTGGCCAGGCCCGTCCACCTTGCACTGTGTGTCCTCATCTCACTGGGTTCTATCTTCTTTTCCTTCCGTTGTTCCCCTCTGTCCTTACTTTCCCAACCGCAGACTTGTTTTTTAAGTCATCACATTTTGTACTCTATGGATCTTTGCTGATGGCCTTGGTTAGTTTGGGAAGGAAACAATTTCAAAAAGATAAAACGAACACTTCTGTTGTGAGATACAGTGGATTTGAAACCATTCGTGGTGTCTTTTGAGGGGCCATGTACACCTGAGTCTGTCTTTTTCCAAACCCTGTGCTCTCTCACCTTATCATATGGGCAGGGATTTAGTAAAAACTGTTTTGTTTGGTTTTTTAAACGAACACGACAGGGGATCCAGGGTGAGTTAGCCAAATGAGAGAAGTTAGGGCAGACTGGATGGGAAACCCTTTATTGGGTGTTAATTCTTCTCCAAAATATATTCACAAGCCAACAACTCCGGAAGCGGAGCAATGAAAGCTGTGGCATGAACCATCTCCTGGTAGAGATGCCCTAATGACACCTCAGAGGAACAGGCCGGTTTCCACGCAGAGGTGGGTGCGATGCTGATGCTGATGCTGTGAGAGACGCACTCCTCCGTTTACTTTGCAATTGAAGAAACAGGTGTACATGTTGTCCACGGGTCCACCTACTTCTGAACGAGCTACCACTCCAGTTGCCTTGGATAGTGTCCTCGGGGAAGTCCCAGTGGGTGTCCGATTTGCTCAGCGTGTGACCTTAGCCATGTGGCAGGTGGAAAGGCCAACCCCCCACCCCATCCTCCTGCACACTCCAGAGGCGAAGGGTACTTCGGTGCTGAACAGCTGCTGCTTGCCAGCCAGGCACGGTGTCCGGCACGTACTAGACTTGCTGCTTTTTCTCTCATCTTCAGGTCCAGGGAAGTCAGGCTAAAAGTCTCCTTCCTGTGTGGTACTAGATGGTAGTCCCATCTTTAACTTGGATAAGAATTTGAAATACACTTGTTAACATTTAAGCGTGAGCATGGGTGCTGAGCAGACGTGCCTTAAAGTGGACTTTCTTGTTCTTGCTGAATCCCCGCCGATTAAGAATCAAGTTCGATGATGGACATGAGAGCACTTTGTACTGCCCCACTTTCGTACACTGGGAGAGGCTGTTGCATAGATGGCATTTCAGTGGCCCCACAACTTTAAGGGTCTCTAATGGGGAGTCGTGTTTGAACTGTTCTCTGAGTTAGAGGATGTCGAAGTTACAGCGTTATTAGGTCGAGTCAAAAGCTACCCTGGGAGTCTGCTGGACCCAGCAGCGTGTGTGGGAAATGGGCCTGGGCTTCTATGAAACACACATAATTGGCTGTGAAGATGGCACATCGCGCCTCGTTAGTCTCCCTTAGGTCTGAGCAGTATTGGAAGTGTGTAGATCTAGTTCTTGGAAATGCTGCCATGAGGAGGAAGACAGCGAAGTGTGTGTATTGAGTGATGGGCACGAACTTTCTGGGGTGATGCCCTAGTCCAGCGGTTCTCAACCTGTGGGTCGCGACCCCTTTGGGGGTCGAATGACCCTTTCACAGGGGTCGCCTAAGACCATCGGAAAACACATATATAATTACATATTGTTTTTGTGGTTAATCACTATGCTTTAATTATGTTCAATTTGTAACAATGAAAATACATCCTGCATATCAGATATTTACATTACGATTCATAACAGTAGCAAAATTACAGTTATGAAGTAGCAACGAAAATAATTTTATGGTTGGGGGTCACCACAACATGAAGAACTGTATTAAAGGGTCGAGGCATTAGGAAGGTTGAGAACCACTGCCCTAATCATTTGTATTAAGGGGAGGGAGTAAGTATGTGCTTGATATGGACCCTTTCTCCAAATAAATTTCATCTCCTGCTGCTTAGTTGTTGCT